GAATAAAAAAACTTTGCAGATATTGCGAAAACTTCTCGGTGCCAATACTTTTGTCCGGCACTGTACATAACTTGTTTCGAAAAAAAATTGTTTAAATTCATTAAGAAAAAAAGGCTCAAAAATTGTAATTTATGTAAATAAAATTGTCAGTTTAAATACACAAAAAAGAATCGCTATATATTTGTATGTATATTAGACCGTACCAGAAAAAAGGTCGTCATACACCTAAATACGAGGCAAAAGGCAATTTCGAAATTTTTTTTACCGAACATAGGTCTCTTTGCATTTTTCGGTGACTCTTACATACTACAGTAGGGCACAACAATTTTTTTAAGTTTAATGCTTTTTGATGAGCTTTAATTCACTGACATTAGGGTGGTAGGAACGGAGTTCTGGTGGGCAAGTATTCGAACGGGGTACCTGAGGTCAATGAACTTTGAAGTAAAAAAGTGTCTCCTCGAGAAAAGAACATCGTGCTTTAAGATCCGACTGTAAATTGCCTCTCAATAAATAAATAAATAAATAAAAAATATTAGGCTTGTACGCTCTAATGCATGTTGTACGTTAGGATGTGTCTACTCTCCATACAAAAGAAAAACTTTACTGTTTTTCCTACTCCTCTAGTTACGTAATTTATTATATTTTAAGACTTATGCCAAAATATTTTGGAAAAATATTAAGATTTACGTGAGCTGTATCAATTTGAACAATCCGCTGTTGAACAGAATGGCGGCAACCAAATTGCTAATGTTGCGGGCTAATGATTTTTAGTAAAATTTCGCTGCTGTCGACGCGGTAGTGTATACCCCGGGCTGCGATCAGGTCGAGGGAAACTTGTTGCCTAAAAGACTCAGCGTCTGGACACTCTAAAATTCATGAAAGTTCCGATTACCTCCTTGATTATACGAATCACTGCGTCTGTGAAGTGTCTCAAGGGATGTGTGTGTTAGATGAGGTGGCCGTTGGAAGGGAGCTGTGAACTTTTTCGCGGATTGGTCGAAGCCGAATAAGGTTTAGGCTGTCATACTTCTTTATCGTGCTTCATGTAGTAGAGCTTACGTTAAAGAAGCACACTGCCTAAAAGTGCGACGTCTATGAGGAAGGAAAGAATTTGACGTTTTCGAGAAAGGGTGTTATTGAAATGACCTTAAGTTGGACACAGAGTGAGAGCGCCACTAGCCACCTATGGTTTACTCTTGAACGGAAGGGCCCCGCATCGAAGGACATTTATTATCATAATTTAGTATAGTTACCTAACACTAAGAATAAGAAGTGTAAGAAGATATTACAAGCAGTGTGACCAGGTTAGCCTTTTTGTGGCTGTATTCAGTAATTCTATTTTTGTTTTAGTTTCGGTATTTTGGGTCCAGCTTCGGGGTTTTTAATGGTGCCTTTTTTATTAGTAAATTTCACGTTTTGAGTACTTTGAGAAAAAAGACTTTTGTATAGAAATGTTAAGCAATTTTACAGAGAACTATCCACATATCCCACACCGAAATGTTTGACTAATGAGATTAAGTTTTAGAAATTTAAATTTGAGATAAATTCTTACACAACATAGCTCTGTAATTTTCTTAAATAAAATAAAAAGGGGGCGGCTAAAGGAATTAAAGCTGACATTGAAGCCAGTAATAATTACATTAGGCCTATTTTGGCCTTCAATACGATGATACCCATTCGGTTCCCGACCAGATAAGAATGGGATGCAGGACTGCGAGTAGTGGAGGGGTGTATATCCATCTACACTGACGATTCAAAGATAGAACAAGGAATCGGAGCCGGTGTCTACTCGGAGGACCTGCACATCAACCGGTCGCTTCGTCTACCGAGCGAAATTGTATGG